CCAGCACACATGTACTTCTCTGTGTTAACTACACATTGAAACTTGCACACCTGCAAGGCTGCAACGGCCCTTTCTGAATTTAGATGTCAGACGCCAACTATATAGTCCTCGATCAGTCCGGTGATTAGTACTAACGCACCATAGTTTCACCTGAGTAGTGTTTGCTGAGTTAATGTGAGAAGTACGTGTGTGCTGGGCATGAAAGAGATGAGCGCCTAACCTGGACTCCTGGAGTCGTCGCGCTGCTACCTTCAAGCGGCGATCATCCCGCCTTGCCCCGCCGCCGTCTCGTCGAAAGGAAATAAGGGAGACGATGTCCAAACAAACCGGAGGAGCAGTTAAGTCTCAGACCCACCCTACCAAGCCGCCGTGGCCATCCTGTACAACCACGCAAGCAAAACCATCGGCAGATACCACTTTAATTGGGATTAGGGGGTGCCTTGGCTGGTATTAGATATCTCAGGGGATTAGTTAACTGGTTTCAGAGTTGGGGGCTGGGTTAGCCGGTTTCTGAAACCACAGGGGGTGATGTGGACTTCTTTCAATAAATTTAGGAATAATGCGAGCACCAGGATTTGAACCCTGGTGGATTAGGGATACCACTGTCCACCTAACCAACTCAACCACAGTTTGAGTAAATCTATCTATTCCCATTACAGTCGAGTTTTTTGAGCAATATTAGTTGGAAATGCACGTGGATGACCCTGATTGAAAATTAGACTGAACGTTCTATGACCACATTAGTAGATCCAATACGAACGCTCTCAAATCAAGTCAGAAGAAAAATGCAGTTTTCTGCCACACTCAATACGAACGACTCGGATTCGATTGAAATTATTAATGCTTCTGCAGGACAAGATATAAGATTTGGGGTGAAGCTTTTGGCTATCTATGTGGAGAGTTCATCTTGGCTGGGATGATAGATTGATAGGATCGGCTGAATTTATACACCATGTCTGTCAAACAACTGAGGTAGCTCATTCTTCAGCGAAATTTGCTTATGACAATAATGCTTCTTGTAATACAGGGTCAATGAACCCCCTGCATTCCTGGCGAATGCCATTGTAAACGATGTAACCACATTACCAATTCAATATAGTGGCTATGATGGCATTTCTTAAAAAAATACTGTCAAATATATCAGAGTTCATGTAGATTGCAGCGGACAAAATAAATACTAATTGAGATCTCAGTTTCGTCATTCATCCAGAGCCATTGCTCATGACAGCACCCACAAGAACACAAAGTTACAACAGCCGCCCACATCTTAGCAGATCATAACATAAACGTGAAAATTTTGCACATTCATAACTGTTACATCACCAAAGAAAAGAAAAGGTCCACTTCTCCGGATTCTCTCAAATTTCGCTCCCGAACCCTTTGGCGGACAAACAAAACTCACTTGCTACAGCATCAATCACCGTGACAGATCACACAACAGATGAGACATGCTAGGCTGGAGGTATATCATTGGTCCACAGGCTGGCGAACTAGATGCCGAATATCAAGTCCATCACATTGGTTACAATAGATTTCGCTGGCGCGGCGACACTGCCTGTCGTACGACGCCCTGCGTCTCTGATAACGTTTGTGGAAGACTTCGGATCATACGGGCGCGGCAAGGCTCCCAACTGGTTTGATGCTCCTGTGTTGCTCTTCAGGACAAGTGATTTCGAAGGAAGGGAGACCATGAAGCCTCCTTGGTTGATTCCAGCGAGCCTATCATCCAGCTGCTGCCGGTGCACTGGATCAATATGCTTTACTCCAATTATGACGCCACTGCATAGTTGGATACCATTCTTTTGAAGGGCTTTCCTTGCATCGTAAGAGTGCTGTGAAGACAATTGTCAGTTTAAGAGGGAAGGGCAGAGGAATTGATTGTCGCACCATAATGCAGAAACCTATCATGTGATGCACGGGCATAGTGGAACTGAGATAAACATTTGTAAAGAAAAGAGCTAGGTTCCGGACATCACAAATCACTTTAAATAAATCTTATCCCAGCAATCACAGGCCAGAGAAACCTATAAAAATCCACATCATGCATGAATGCACAAAGACAGATTATCCAGACTAGAACATGTGTTGTTGAAAAGCATACTAAACAGGCCAAAACCAGCTTCACTGTGTGTTTCATGTTCAAAAGATAGCCAAATCATACACCACAGCATTTACACACACGCATGGGGACCCAACTTGATGTGCACGTTGGTGTAGCTAAGAAATAGTGACACTTTCACGGAAACTGGAATAAAGAGAATGCAACCTTTAGGCTAAATCCATCTTAAAATAGGACGAAAAGGCATATCTGAGTGAAGCCATACAACATGTGAATTGAACAAGTAGACAATCATTAATTCCAAGATCATATAAGATGATGAATGGTGCCATGAAACCGAAACCGTTCAAGTATAAAGGAGCTTATACTCAAGTTTATGTCGAGTCACAGTTCATTAGGAACAAAGCAAATTAATACAACTGTTGGGAAAACATAAAAACAGGGGCACCGAAAGGTAGAACAGAAACCAGTAGCGACGGTAACTGAAGATATCGTTACCTGGTATAATATGTGGATCCAATTACCCTCTCTTGGGCCAGAGTGATGTCTCAATATAACACCACATTTTTCGAACTCTCGGAGAACGAGGTTGGTATCTCTAAGCGAGAATCTGTAGAAGGGAAAAATTAAACATCAATAAACCAATTCATCCTATATAAGGCACGCAACAAAAACGCTAAGTGACGGCTCCTGCTTTCTCGGGCAGGGTGTACAAACTTAACAAAAATGAAAGTGCACTAGCACTATAGAGTCCGGTATATCCAGTTGCTAGGACAAGCACTATGATCGATTTTGCTGTTGCTCATGGACATGGACAGGAGCAAGCACATGGCAGGGCCATGAACCTACGCAAAGCAGCAAAATTTTCAGCTCCATGGCTACATGTCCAGCGGTCACCAAGATACTACTACTTGAAGAACTGAATCTACCATGCGCATGCCGCAGGCTACAGCTTCCTCAAAAGACAAGTAAAGAAGAGCATCATGGTTTCCTCACCCGAATACAGTGACCCACTCCTCGCCATCTGCCTTCCCTTCGCTGGACGGAGCCGTCCTGGCAGCCTCCGTCGCCGGGGTCACGGGCGACGGCGCCTCGGCGGCCACGGACGTGGCCGTCGGGGGAGGAGGAGTGCAGGGGCTGGAGGGCGGGGGCAGCGCGAGCAGCTCCTTGCGGGGCGGCTCGACGACCCCGTCCATGGGGGATCCGTGGGCGGAGGCCTTGCCGCGGGAGCGGTCCCATGAGGGCGAGCGGCTGCCTGCCCCGGCGCGGGGGGAGGGGGAGGAGGCGACGGGGA